CAGAACATCTATAACCAATTAACATTACGCATGTCACACTCTGTGAGGTTTCAATTATCACTAAAACTGTAAGACCACCAGATTGTCTTCTGCATGCCTTTTCTATTTGTTTCTGAATCTAAAATGGGCCTGCAAACATCTGCAGGTTGATGTGACAGGCTGCTAGCTTATTAAAGAGTTCCAGGCCATGTGGAGCTGATTTGGAAGTGTCGAAGAGATATAAACACGTCATCTTAGCAGAGTGAAATATGGCACGGCATATCTTTGATCTGATGCGGGTCATCTCCAGAACCTGCCGGCTGGGTCAGATGGTACCCGACCTGCCCCTGCTGGGGCCTTCGAAGAAATCTATATGCTATCACGGCGTATATATACCTGTAAGTCACGAGATTTTGGTCTGGAGAGGCTGCGCTGTGCCGCTGGGCCATATGGAGTCTATCTGAAGCAGCGGTGTTGATGGAGCGGGTCAGGCCAGGGGGAAACAGGCTTCAAAGTTGGGCACATGTCAATGTCTCTCTTATCCTTTCACTATGAATTACAGGACAGAAGATATTCATTCTTCCCAGTCGCCCGATCCTTCATCCTGTTGGAAAATCCAAAAAGTGTTTATCAAAGGCAGGTACTTCACCCATGGTTCACCTAAAAATATAAATCTGGTCATATTTACTCACCTTCATGTCGTTCCAAACCTATGCCATTCCAGAAGAGAAATTACTGTATGTACACTTTTAAAAATGTGACCCTGGACCACAAAACCAGTCTTAAGTTGCACGGGTATATTTGTAGCAATAGCCAAAAATACATTGTATGGGTCAAAATGATCGATTTTTCTTTTATGCCAAAAAATCATTAGGATATTAAGTAAAGATTATGTTCCATGAAGATATTTTGTACATTTCCTACCGATTTCCTACTGTAAATATATCAAAACGTAATTTTGTAATTGTAATTTTTCATCAATATGCATTGCTAAGAACTTCATTTGGACAACTTTAAAGGCGATTTTCTCAATATTTGGATTTTTTTGCACCCTCAGATTCCAGATTTTCAAATAGTTGTATCTCAGCCAAACATTGTCCTATCCTAACAAACCATACATCAATGGAAAACTTATTTATTCAGCTTTCAGTTGATGTATAAATCTCAATTTTGAAAAATTGACACTTAACCTCTTAAGACCCGAAAAAAAAGTTTTAGGAAAAAGTTAGTTTTTTCCATGTCTTTACATTGTTTAGAGCATTAAAAATAATGTAAAAAATATATATATATTAAAAAAAGATATTCCATTCATAAGTTATGCTATGTCCTCGGCAGAGGACATCGGGACTCAATTTTTTTTAAAAAAATAAAAAGACATGAATGAGCATGCATAGGCAAAAACAATTGATTTTTTTAAATCACCAATACATTTTTAGTTTTCAATTTTTTTTTTTACCAAACTTTGTATAAAGATGATTCTCAACGATGTTATAACAGAATGATTCAATATATCTTTTAAGGTAAGTGGTCGCAAACAATTTATTTTAGCTACATTTAATTAAAAAAATATGTTGAAAGTTAGTCAAATAAATTTGTTTATTTAAATGTAGCTAAAATAAATTGATTGCAACCGCTTACCTTAATTTTTTTTTAGTAAATTCAATGAATCTTTTTTTCAGTGTAAACATTTTCCTGAGATGTTGATTTATGACACACAATTTAAAAATTAGTCAGATTTAAATGATAATTTACAAAATATTATCATATTTCCACAGTGTGTCACTAAATTAATTTCAGACATTTTTGAAGACCAAGGAGAGGGAGTGGTCATGGTGAAACATCCAAACATTTAGTATCTCTGAAATGCCCTGAATGTGCTCTGTACAGGACATCCAGACACATTAAAACTGTGACATGTATAGTCTCAGAGAAATACACTAAAATATAATGTCCTCATATGAGGCCGCAGGGTCTTAAGAGGTTATGACTGGTTTTGTGGTCCAGGGTCACAAATAAGGTGCCAAATGGGCAGTTTTGCAGTGAAGAACCATTTTTGGTTCTCCGAAGAATCTTTTCGTGAACGGTGCTTAAAAGACCCAATTTTTCTTAGTGTGAAGAACATTCTTAATAATCTAAAGAACGTTTTCCATTATAAAGAACCTTCTGTGCAGTGCAAAGGTTCCATCAATGCCAATAAAGAACCTTTTTATTTATATACCTTTAGTCTGTTCATTTCACTTGGATATAGATTTATGACATTTTTACGTGATTATTGGAGCTTGACGTCGCCAAGTCTCATTTATTTTCATTATACGGAAGAGAGCAGACTGATAATCTTCAAAAAAAAAATCATCTTTTGTGTTCACCCCTCATGAATTGGCATCGGTTCCATGTAGAACCTTAAACATCAATGGAACATTTCAGTTGCTCATAAGGTTTTTTTATAGTGCTTATTTAGGTTATTAAAATGTTCTTCACACTAAGAAATATGTCTCTTTTATGAACCGTTGGCTGAAAGATTATTTGGGAAACCAACAATGGTTCTACTGTGGCATTGCTGCGAAAACCACATTTTGGAAACTTTACTTTAAGAGTGTACAGAAGAAAAAAGGCACCCAGTTTTGGTCATGATGGTAAGTAAATGATGAATTTTCAGTTTTGGATTAACTATTCATCTAAATGAGTTCAGTCTGTCAGTGTAGAACAGAGGAGATGAAGCAGAAAATTCCATTTGGGATTTGAGATTCGATCTACATCAGCATATTCTTGAGTAATATCAATGTGGCAGATGGTTTTTACATTGATTGTTAGTAGAACATATGTGAATGCCGGTAGACACATTCAACAATTTTCTCTTTTCTTTATATGATATATTTTGTAGCATGTAAAACTATAATTGCTTCAAGCTCTTTGATTAAGAAGCATTCGTGTTGCATTATCTAGAAGCTCTGAAATCATAAACATCCCTCACCGAAAATCCTTTCAGAACGTCCATGTTTTAACCAGAGTGGACACGGAGATCATCTGAGCATCCTCAAGGCTATTCTCGCTGGCTTCGGCCCAAGTGTCAGTCATCCGTTCACATGTGGATTACATACATAAATCAAAAGGAAACAAATCTTCTTTCTGAAATAAGGCATATTTTACAATTGAAAACCTTACAAATGTGACCAAACTGCTGCCTTATACAAAACATCCCAAAGCCTCTTTTGAACACTGGACACTGGTAAAAGAAATCTGACATGCATTATTATTGTCTTATTCAAAGAGACAGTCCAGGCCCGGCATTCAAATGGCCGTGTAAGAGAAAAAGCCTGTGAGGCTTTGCCAAAAGTTCTTCACAACAGGCTGACTCCTACATGTGTTTAGGGTATTGTGAAACCTTGGACTTATTCTGGAAAACAATAGGAAGAGGTCTTTCATCTGACTTGAAAGGATGGCGTGAAGAAATGCCTGCAAAGAAATTCATATATTGTGTGCAACATCTCAAAGAGGTGAGAGACCTTTCGTGGCATCTTATAATAACCATGAAAAAAAAATCATGACCTTAAACATTAACGGTGGACTTTCGTCATTAGGTGAATATAAAAATCCAATACATATTGCATAACTTGAAAATGAATACTGTTGTAATCTTACACATTTTTGTGAATTCTCAAAATTAAACATTTCCATATCAGAAGGTTTATATATGCTGCATATGCTAAAGATTATAACGAGCCAATATTTTAAGAATTATAGTTTGATATGTTGCCATTTTAAATTTTTTATGTTATAAATTGTTTTGTGTCTTTTTTTTACCATTTGCATTCTTTTATAGGCTGGTTAAAGGCAGGTTGCAATGTGACAACTTACCCCATTTTTTTCTAGAGCAGTAACGGTGGAAATGCTCAATAGGTTTTTTTTTTTTTTTTTGAAAACTTCACATCTATTGAGAAATATTCACTGAAGTAAAAGTGTGCCAACTAGCCCCGATCTGTCTTATAAAACAATTCAAAAAGGCATCAAATAAACAAATAATAAATAAATGAATGAACAAATAAATAAAACAGACAACAAAACTTTTTAAATAAAATCAAAAACAACAATTGCAATGCAAGAAATTCTAGAAATCTACTTACCTCATAAATTATAAGGTCATTCCTACTTTTGACCTATTGAAAAAACAAATTCAACAGTATTTTACCATATTGTATACATTTTGCTTTGTTGAATATAATATACATTGTTGTGTTTCAATTGTTTCTCCTAAAACATTTTTAGAAGTATAACATACATTATTTTATCTTTAATTTGATACATAATTTTTTTTTTTTTAAATGTATGATTTCTTGAGTAATTAAGAAATATTCACTTAAGTAAAAAGTGTGATAACTAGCCCTGACGGCTCTTAGAAAAGAATTAAAAAGGCATCAAATAAATAAATAAACAAACAAATAAATCAGATAACAAAAATACAAATACTTTTATAAAATCTAAATGCAAGAAAGGAATCTGCTTTCCTCATAAGTGATTCCTACTTTTTACCTATTAAAAAACTATTTAAACAATATTTTACCATATTGCCTTATACTTATATTGCAATATACACACTGTGTATCAAATGTGAGATAATTATTGAGATGATCTAAAAAAAAAAAACATAGAACATTTAGAAGTACAACGTAAAATATTTTACACCTGTAATTTCTTAAATTATTATCTTACAATTTCATAATACCATTTTTACCATAACACTTGCCCGTTTCAACTGCACCGTTTTACATTCTTTTTCCATTTAAATGTCTTTTTTATTTTATTTTTTTACAGTGTGAGATTGACATATCGTCTAAAACTGAGAGTATCGATCTAAAAGTGGGGTACAATTTGAGTGGCAGCCGGTGGAGAGGTGCAGTGTAACTTTAGACTGGTCCTCCTCGTTTATTAGTCCACCAATCAGAGAGCAGCGCTTCCTCCCCCTCCATTCACACTAGTATTTAGCATCAGAGACTAGGATAAAGTTTCCCAAAAAATTAGGAAAAAACTTCCTGCGGGAGGAAAACTGTGCCAAGCTCTACTTCTGGAAGTGGAGGCGCAGTCTCGGGACTTCGGGAGGACAAACAAACCCCAGAAAAACGCACGGATATAACGGTGTAACCACGGATTAGAAGGTGGAGAGCGCGTTTTCTCCTCGACCTTCTCATTTCTTTAAAAAAGAAATGGAAGAGAGTTCAAGCTCTCCCGTCTCCCCAGTGGACAGCCTGGTGACCAGCGAGGAGGAGTTGGACAGACAGCAGAAAAAGTTCGGGAGGAAGAGGAGACAAAGTAAAAAGTCGAGCGAGGACGGCAGCAGCCCGAGCTCCGTGAATAAACGGAGCAAAAAGCCGAGCCCGAGCAGCACTCAGTCGTTCGAGGAGCTGCAGAACCAGCGCGTGCTGGCGAACGTCAGGGAGAGGCAACGGACTCAGTCGCTGAACGATGCCTTCGCGTCTTTGCGCAAAATCATCCCCACGCTCCCCTCGGATAAACTCAGCAAGATACAGACGCTCAAGCTCGCCTCCAGGTACATTGATTTCCTCTGTCAGGTGCTGCAGAGCGACGAGATGGACAGCAAGATGTCGAGCTGCAGCTACGTCGCGCACGAGAGACTCAGTTACGCCTTCTCGGTGTGGAGGATGGAGGGCGCGTGGTCGATGTCTGCGTCCCACTAGCGGAGACACTCGTCTGTACAATGCCGAAAGGGTGGGTAGAAAGATGCCAATTCAGCTCAAGACGTTCTCATATTGTCGGGCTAGGTCTTTGATAACTTGTACTACACGTTACTGCAGTAAAACCAGGCTTTTAGAGAAACGCCAGCTGTTCTGGACAACTGACACTGACAGTTCAGTGCGCGAATGCAGCACTATATCCTCACGACACCCAACAAATTCTCATTTAGATTTGTTTAGATAGTTTTATAGTTATTGAAATAAAATGATTTTATTATTATTCTGATGCGTGGATATGCGCTACAGCAATAACCTGGACCGATTCCACTGAAGGAATGTTTACATCCTCCTGAGGCCAAACTCAAAAGGCATTTTGAATATTTTACAGTTTATAATACAGAATAATTAGAAATATATATATATATTTTTTTAAAGAAAGTTGATTTTATATGTTCGACTAAGTCCTATTTATTTGTATTTTTTTTTATTAGAATGTCTTTATAAGATAGATATTAACATCAACGTTTAATGTAGAGGACAATTATAGCTATCACGGAGGTATTCAATTCAATCTGTTGTCACAGGGGGAAAAAAAGTTTTTTAAAGATAGGCTACTTTAGGACTTAAACCAGTGGCATCTCAGCGATTATTACAGAAATGCTAGAGGTCATGGTATGCCATTTTGACTAAAATAATATGGGAGAACATACACATATATGGTTAGTTATTATGCGTTAAATACAAACATAAAATCGTAAAACCCTCAAAACAGTAAAGAAGCGCGCGCATTTAAAGTAAGAAATGAAAGTTCATCGTAATTATTTCGAACTGGCTGATTACACATTCCTTGACTGCTAAAGCTTCTATAGAGCCAAATATTTCTAGTAAAATCACCAGAGAGAAATCACAGGCAGTATGGCAATAATCTAGCACATATTTTCTTCAAATAACAAAGAAAACAAATGCTGGATTCTCATTTTTTATAGGTTAAATTCATATCACACCGGGTCAAAGCGTTCCCGACTTTTATCCAGTAATAATAAACATATTCACGTTATATCGTCGATCTTATGAAACGAGTAACAACCCAACCGTGAGAAGCTCCTCACGGATCATTTATATTTAGAGGACCATTTACCCTTCAGTGAATAAAACTTACATTTCTCCAGCGATTTAAAAACTGGCTACAAAGCGCATTAACAAACGTTAGCTAAAACACAGTGAAAGAGAAATGGAAAATAATTATCATATGATTGAGGAGAAACGGGATGCATTCGAATGTTTTTATATATATACTACGAACGAAGAAACTAAGGTTCTCTGAAACCACTGAAGAAGAAGAAAAAAAAACACCTTGGTCTACACTCCTAGAAATAAACGTTCAGTCTGGGAGATTAAAAGAGTTCTTGATAACCCGTTCTTTAGATCAGTGTTTGGCGTTCTGTAAAGCACCTGTATAATGAAGAACAGTGCTCAGTTGATCTAAAAGGTTCTGCTATATGACATCAGGAAGTGACGTTCTTTTTGGTTCTACAGGAAACTCGATTTTTTTAAGTGAGAAGGTGCGCTGCCGCTTTACCATGGTTTTTACATGGTTTTACCATGTTTATGCTTGTGAAATAACTGCACCGTAACCACTGAAACCGAAGACTGACATCTTTAAGGCAAGGCTGAAATATTTCAGGCTAAAATGTGATACAATATGAGCAATTACTAAACAGAATTTTGTGATTTTTACATTTTATTTACTTTGCTAAAATATGTGTGCAGCCAGGTCTCCAACTTATTAGTTCTATCCTGTGGCATTTGTTATATGAACCTGCATGTCTATAATACCGAATACAGTCCTATTTTAAATCACTAATAAACTGTTTAAAAATTAAAATGATGATAAATTGAAATGAGTAATGCATTTTAATCATCCCAACTGAGTCTAGCTGGATAAAGCTGGAGGTTTCGATTAGGCCTCCATCAATCAAGACAGCACACAGCTGTCAAAAAACGTTTAACTCAATCCTTGTGATGACATTATATTGTATTCTAACGGATTCTTATGAATTTTTTTGCATAAAGTAATATGTGCTACTGAGAAGTCAGAAGAAAGGCAGGTGTACGGCTTCGCATTTCAAACCAAATGACCTCCTAAAACAGTTATTTTCCACTGACGTAATTCCACCTGGGATTTGTGTAACATGTTTGAACCAAGCCTTTTCCTGTGTAAGCATGTGCTCCCACTCAGAATTAAATAATGGGATCATTAATAGATTCCCATTTCTCTACATTCTAATCCAAGGCCACAGGCAAACCTCGAAACTTTAGGCCTTCATAGAAAAATCCGTCACAGAAGTTTTAGGCCTATCTGATTGAAAGCAGCAGATTTTTGAACCTTTCTTAGTAATGCTTTTCTTTCCTTCCACAGACTGTTTACTTCCACTAATTTTGAAGACACCAAAGGATTTATCGATGAACCTCTAAACCTCAATGACGTGGCCAAAGGACATTCAGTAGACACACCTACGGACTTGAGCATCCTCACGAAGGACACAGCGAAAGGAGCTTTTTATATACTTAGAGGAAACGTAGATGACGTCTCCTGTGTCGTCAAATACATTTAATCTTTTTCACAAGTTATTCTTTAATGTCGTCATGGTGATAGTACAGGAAGGCCATCTGTTATCTGTATGGAAACTATATTGCGTGTTTGTCTCTAAACAGAAGAGTTTATATATATATATATATGAACAAAAAAGTATTGTACATAGGCTACCTGTGTGAGTATTGTCAGCTTTTTTAAGGGACCAATGCAATTTAGAGCAATACTTTCTTGAAGTACGCTGCATGGATGAATGCATACATTTGATTTTTCCTATGCAACATTTTTTCGATTTCCGTCCACTGTACATTTTGCTTATTTATTAAAACATATTTTTGAACACGTAGGCTGAACACTTTGATTTGTCCACATCATCACCCGTGATATGCCAGTTTTCACTACAGTAAAGAACATTCAGATTTTCCCCTTATTTTGCTACAAAAAGAAACTGTTATAAAACAGTGCAGGTTCATTAGCCGAAGAGAAAGTCCAGCCAGTTTTACCCCTAAGCTTATAAAAAAAAGCTTGTCCGCTTTAATAAGAAGAAATCACTGAATCCAGACGGCTGGAGGCAAATGCTTTAACAACCGCAGATAACCACCGCATTTAAATACTGGACCCCTAGCAGACCTTTTCATTTCTCCTTTAAATCTACACCAATGCTCGCAAAGCATTTAATTGTTTACATCTCATTTTCCCAGGCTTAGCTTGATAGAAATCTAAAAGAAACGACTCCACTGTTGAGGCATTCATGTTTGATGAAAGCTCTGTTGTTCTGTGGGCCTGTTCAAGAATAATTTAACTGCTTTTTGAAACATCTGATGGTGTTAAATCACAACATACAGAAAACTTTTATTTCCAGTTTTATGGCACTTAATAACTATTTAAAAGGTTGTGTTTATTATTTTATTTGCTTTTATCAATTTATTTGATTTTAGGATATTTTGGAGCTTTAAATAATAACTGAAGTCAACTATTGAACTTTTATATCAGCTAGGCTGTATGTCTGTAGGCTATATGGGTCAATGACGTGATGTCTGAGATTATAAACATTTTTAAAAATATATAAAATAGTTTTATTAGGTAAAAACAGTTAGTTTAAAACAGCCTTCATGTTGGTTTTGTACATTTCTGAATACCATTTTCAATAAAAAAAAAATGGGATTTTATGACTCTAATTATGTGGTGGTGTAACCATCAAGTACAAAAGGTCCTCTCTCTGTGTTATGGTTTTCTTGTCACATGACAACAAAATTACTTCCTGCATGCTTGTTAAGCCACACTTATTTTGATTTCACAAACGTAGCTATTTTAAAAGTCAATGTTTTAAAACATAATTGCTTCAGTGCTTATTTTTAAAGGAAATAATAATAAAAGATTATGCTAGGCTACAATAAGTCAAATTATTATTATTTTTTTAATAATCTCAGGGCAGTTAGACCTTATTAACCCTTACAAAAATGTGAAAATTAATTTTACTTCAAAAATTGAAAATAGGAAAGGTGTCATTTTACTGACGAACAAAATTGGCTACTGGCCATTGACCCAAATACAGAGATACGCGTATGAGAAAACAGCTGCAGTTTAAAAATAAAAGTTCTTAAATGTTCACTTGTGGTGACGGGGAAACCCAAAGAAAAAAAAAAACTCTGGTGAAAACTGAGGTGAAGAGTGAGAACCAGCCCGTTAGATACACACCCTTTATTCTGTGCACCTGCGCAGATCTCTGCAACCGCAGCGGAAACTAACTGAACGCAGGGCTCTCGAGAGCTGCTTGACGTCGAGACGCGACGCGACGCGACACGACGCAGAGGGGGGAAGACGTCCATCTGGCGCATAGAGCAACAATTAATAAACAGTGTAGGCTATACGGAATGCAAGAGCACTTTTGGTTTTGATACAGTAAAATTGGTTCACACGTCTAGTCTCTCAATCTCCCAGTCAGTCTTTCAAAACAGAAATACAACGATTTTACATAGACTAGGCTATGACTAAAAATCGGAGACGCACAATTTTTGGAGAAAGAAAACAATATTTTAAAGAGATATGTGGTTAATGCATTAATGGAGAGTGCGTCTCAATTAGTGCTGTCCGATTCGGATCTCGAATAGGATGTTTTTATAATGAAGCGGTTAAACTTGTTCACAAAATGATTCATTCACGAATTCTACTTAAAGATTCGTTCACATAGGCCAATAACGAATCGGACTGAATCAGTAAGGGACGTTTTGAGTCAGCTGAGTCTGTCGGCACTTTTGAACATGCTCAAACCTTAAGGAGCCGAAACCATGAGTGAACCAATAAAGCTGGAGTGAACCGAACAATACGTAAAAGACGAAAATACCCGAAACTTGTTGGTTTTAATAAATATCACTTAGGCTAATTAAATAATGCAAATACTATTTTAGTCGAGTGATGCAAGTAATTTAAAGTATTTTTTTTAATGTATAAACAATTCTATTCCGGTTCTAAATCACTAAATCAGGAATGAAACTACAATAAATAAAAATGGTTAGGCTATTAATAAAATTGAATCAGGAAAAAATGAAAGAAACAGCAACATGTGGCTACAAAAGGCTTTATTGGTAAGTTTTAGAGCAAGTAATATGCAATGCCGTGATTTAATAGACCTAACGTCATGACGTAAAATAATCACTGAATCTTTTTTTGCCGAAAGAACCGATTCGCGAAAAAAGATTCGGATATATCCCATCATTAATAGACAATCTAAATGATGTGCGAGACACATAGATAAAAAAAAAAAAAAGCTTGTGTGTTGAGGGAGAGTGCGTATCCATCAGCAGCGTGTTTGATAATGTCTCATTATTCCCGCCTTCCTTCTGAGCCAGAATGCCTCGGGCCACAGTTACGGAGTGGTGCGAGCCCCAGATGTTTCCCGTAAAATCAGACGGAAAAAGCAACAAAATTTTAATTTGCAGTAAAACGGATAAAGTAAAGGTTTACGCTGCATGTGCCACAGAAAGTATTTCATGTTCAAGCTAATGCCAAGGTTACATTACACTGTGGGGGTGGGCCCTGGCTGGAATCAGATTTGTAGGCTACCACCCCAGTGGCTTACTCTTACCTTCCGTGTTGATAGTAAACTATAAGTTACAGAGGAAATATAAGCAACTAAAAGACAGGTTTAAAAAAAAATAATTCTGCTAGCTCTCTAACTTCAGTCGAACTTCTGATTTGGTGAGCCTTACTAAAAACTGTTGTAAAATGCTGATAAATACAACACACCTGTGGCCTTCGCATTGATATTAATGAGCTAAGCTACACCATAAACAGTCTACAGTGGACCTAATGAATTATATTAGCATTCTTAGTGGAAGATTTTTTTCTACTATTAAACTTAAAGCTAGAGGCAAATACCCCCAATTCACCTCTTTCTTCTGTGGAATATAAAATATTTTGAAAAATATTTTTTGGTCCACAAAATGAAATTCAATGGGGTACAGTGTTTAGATTCCAATGTTTTTCAAAATATCTCAAATAATTACCCATGGCTTTGTGTGGATTATTGCTTTCATATTTCATAACATTATGTGCAGCGAACAAAAGTTTGTATAGCAAATGATATTCTCGTGAGGGCACTCAAATGCTGATTTTAAGGCTCTCCGGGCCTTCTTGCCCTAAAACAGCTCCACGTGTACAATATACGAACCCGCAGGACAGCATCCGTGCTCTAGTGTAGATGACGTGGCAATGCAGCACATGTTTGGCCTTAGATCGCATGCAAACGTCTGCGCTGAATCACCGACCAGCAGATCAAATCAGGACATGGTCGAAGAACAGTAGATTCAGACAGTGTTACGAACATGCGTTCTGGGACAAAGCGTCTATAGGGCAGGTGTTCCAGCACAGGTGGAGTGCTGTACACTGAGAGAGTTTCATCTGGGAACAACAGGTGGAGATATTTACATTCAGTATAAACAATCCAAAAAGCCAGGAGGGGATTATGGTGGAAAAGAACAGTTCTAAAATTCTCTAGACCGTCACATACATAGAAAAGAGAGAAGACAAAAAAAAAAAAAAA